TTCACTGGGAATATTTATTTTACAAAAAAAAAAAATCACAGAGAAAAATTATTAAAAGACTAGAACAAAAAAACAAATAAAACAGAGAAAAGGTCTAGAAGAAATTATTATAAAATTGTGCAGACTAATGTATGTACAGTGATTTTCTGATACTATGAAATCTAAGATTAAGTAGCACGAATTGTACTGATCTCAGAGCACACTGAGTATTAAACAAACTGTACATTAACTCGTAATAAATCTGGCAAAAAATACTCTTACATAAACTCGTAAACTAGTTGTGTTTATACAATATGTAAGACTATGTAAATAAATTTCTCTATCATATCGAACTGTACAGAGGTCGTTTATTAGATTCTTCATCTCGAAAGCTCTGTCGCAGCGAAATGAGGGGCCGTTGCGAGTTTTTTGAAGCCAGAATCTACCCCATTTTTCGCTCCTTTTTTATATTAATCATTAGTTATCTTATTTTTTTTTCTACTGATGTGAGGCTGAGCTTTTTTTCCTGCACTTTCTCCGCCAGGCCGTAAGTCGAGCTCCATTGCACTGCATTATTTTCCCCGCACATTGTAGGAGTTTTTTTTTCCCGCAGACGTCCGCTGAGGCGACGGAGCCCGGCTGCCTGCGCCCTTCGCCAACACGGGAACAAATGCGCGGTTTTCTTTTTTTCCAATATCGATCTTTATTTTCTTGAGCGATGCGTTTATTTCCAGATCATGCCTTGTACTTATTTTCTAACTCGATAAAAAATTCAAAACAAAATTATAAATCCTCATCACTTGTTCCGAAACTTTCATTTAAAACAAAAGAGAGAAGTTCCCTTTAAAGCTATAAAACGAAATTATGTACACTGCATAAATAAAGGCACTTTCCCGCGCTCCTTCCGGGAATTATAGCATAATATAACCACGTATATTATACATTAGCAGTTCCACTAAAAAATAAACTTCTCTTAAAATGCGATTCACAAGGGTGTTGCTCAAACCCGTACACAACAAATCCGACAATCTCGAGTAATCACTTCCCTCATGCGAGAGTTTAAGAATAACACAAAGACGTTATTACAAGTTCCTTTTCTTTTCCTCTCCTGCTATTTTCATTTCAATCTCGCGACACAAATAACATCACTGCAAGCAAGTCTGCGCAACGCTCTCATCCAGTCGCTCGCTTTCCGTGTATTTCCTGCCTCAAATTCCCTTTTCTTTTTAGGGGGGGGGGGGGTCTCGTCCGGACTCGAACCAGCCCGAGCGATGCCCGACGTCGCTGAGGAAGGACCTCCACCTCGTGCCCTTCACTCCATCTTGTCCAGTTCGTCGCACGACTTCGACTTGGAAGATCTGCAACGGCGAAAGAAAAAAAAAGGTATGAGTGAGGTTTTATGGTTCACTTTCTCTCTCTCTCTCTCTCTCTCTCTGCTATCTACAAATATGAATCCATCTATCCATCTCTTATATAATAATAATCCAAAAACTTATTCAGTATGCTTGGAACGAATAAGATAAAGAAATATAATCATTCCGCCAAGCAGCCACTGAACAAACCTCTCTCCGCTATAACAAGACCAGACGATGGGAAATAAAAACATCCCAGCTTTACCAGACCAGCGACAGGGGAAACCTAAAGCATTCCTCCATCTAAGGCTAATCCCCCAGCTCCTGAAGGACGGCAAAGGAGGGCGTCGGGACCCCTTAACGCCAGGCCACATGTCCGGCCTCTCCAGTTCTAATTAGGAATATCCTTTTCCCATCATAATTCAAGCTGACTGGACTTCCTGCGCCCTCCGTCTGGTGGGAAAGGCGCTGTTGTTGAGAGACTGGGCTTGGGGGGGGGGAGCAAGCCTCTTGAGAAATGGTGAACTCTCACTCTCCCTCAATGATTCACTCTCACGTCACTTTCTCGCTCACCCCTCTCTCTCTCTCTACGAATAAGATAAAGAAATATAATCATTCCGCCAAGCAGCCACTGAACAAACCTATCTCCGCTATAACAAGACCAGACGATGGGAAATAAAAACATCCCAGCTTTACCAGACCAGCGACAGGGGAAACCTAAAGCATTCCTCCATCTAAGGCTAATCCCCCAGCTCCTGAAGGACGGCAAAGGAGGGCGTCGGGACCCCTTAACGCCAGGCCACATGTCCGGCCTCTCCAGTTCTAATTAGGAATATCCTTTTCCCATCATAATTCAAGCTGACTGAACTTCCTGCGCCCTCCGTCTGGTGGGAAAGGCGCTGTTGTTGAGAGACTGGGCTTGGGGGGGGGGGGGGGGAGCAAGCCTCTTGAGAAATGGTGAACTCTCACTCTCCCTCAATGATTCACTCTCACGTCACTTTCTCGCTCACCCCTCTCTCTCTCTCTCTCTCTCCCACTTTCACTCACTCACTCACCCACTCCCTCTCTCTCTCTCTCACTTTCACTATCTCTCACTATCTCACTTTCACTATCTCTCACTATCTCACTTTCACTATCTCTCACTATCTCACTTTCACTATCTCTCACTATCTCACTTTCACTATCTCTCCTTCTCTCTCTCTCTCTCTCTCTCTCTCTCTCTCTCTCTCCCAATTTTCCGCTCTCACTCTCACCCTCCCATCTGTGAGATTAAATGGCCACGGGTCGTGACTACCGCGTCCTAGAACTAATACCTTCAAAAACCGCGACTCAGACTTAATCAAGAGATTGTTCCACGCTTCGTAGAAAATCCTTTGTTCGACCGGGATACGCTTAAAGCACCCGCGCACATTCCGTCTTCGGCAAACATCCACACCAACATCAACATCCACATCCTACACACAAACAACCCCAACCCCTCCCTCCCCATCCCCCCTAACCCCGATCCCTCCCTGGCACCCCCTCCCCCCTTCCCTCCCCCCCTTCTCCCGTGACCTGCGATGACCCTTTTACCTGCTGCTGCTGGACGTCCGCCGCCCGACGTGCATGATGACCTTGCCTGCGCGGATAGACTTGAAGACGGCGATGGCCTCGGCGTGACTCAGGCCCGACAGCGACTCTCCATTCACGGCCAAGATCTCGTCGCCTGCGGGAGGAAGGAAGGGGCGGGAGGTGAGTAAGTGGGGACGTGAGTAAAAAAAATAATAATAATTATAAAAAAAAAAATAAAATAAAAATACAGACGGTGAGTAAATGGGGACGTTAGTAAAAAAAAGCATAACATTCAGAACCGCAGACCTCACACTATAATAGATGCAAAGAATGGTCGTATTACATTGCATGGATGGGTATTTGTAATGCACGAGAGAATATTGAACCGGGCCCTGCGGGAACGCCATTACACAAGACCCAACCACGCGAAAGTAAATAAATGGATAAATAAATAAACAAATAAATAAATAAATAAATAAATAAATAAGCAATCAGCATGAAAAAGGGAAAAAATCAATCTCCATCTCAACCCTTATCCCTCTACCCCCTCCCCTCCCCCTAACCACACCCACCCAACCCCCCTCCCCTCCCCTGCCTCCCAAAGGCCGCCAAGGGAACGGTAACTTCCGCTCCGGGCGTCTCCACACGCCCGAAGGAGACGCACGGACGCCCACGCAAAAAAAAAAAAAAAAAAAAAAAAAAAAAAAAAAAAAAAAAAAAAAAAAAAAAATATTGCAGCCCAGGAAGCACATCGCACCCCCCCCCCTCTTCCCTCACGCCCACACCAACACCATTCTTGGTTCCCGCCCATGAGACTGCGGGAGAACCAACACGATTTTTTTCTCTCTCGCTTTTTCAGCATTAACTCGCCTGTCAAGGCTTTAAAATGATAATAATAAGTAAAGGAAAGTGTTATTCAACTATGGGAGGAAGTGTGAAGAGGTGAAAAGATGAAGGTAAAAATTAAATTGAAATAGGCAGAGAGAGAAAAAAAAAACGAAACCAAACACACTCACTTAATATGAGTGTATATGCGCGACGGAATACGAAGAAAACACATCACACACACACAAAAAAAAAAAAAAAAAAAAAACTTTCGCACCGACTCCTCCCGCCCCACAACAGCCACTTCCACACACTTCCCTTCGACGAACCAAAACAACAAATGCGAAATGATGACTTCGGACGATGTGATGACTTCCTAACTATGACTCCCCGCCCACTATGACTTCACGGACGCAGAACAAAAGAAGCGTTGCGAGCGAGCGAACGGCTTAATCATTTCCCCGCGGTCCACGGAGGCAGACAGTGGCCAATCCGTGCTCACAGGGACGTCTAGGCCTATCAAGAGTTAGGGATTTTCGCCCTTTCGAACCTCTCGAGTTGTATAGTAGTGTCGTGGGGACGAACGACTCGTAGGCAGTTAAAAATTATCCTTTTCTACTAGTTTTTCTCTTCTTCTCTATTAATATATGTACATACATACATATATTTATATCATATATAATTATTTATATTTATATTATATACAAATATTTATATTACATTATAGTAGATGAGCATATTCAAAGGATAACAAACGTAACGATTCTACAGTTGATTACTTTAATACACTGTTCCACAATCTATCAATTCAATATCACACGTTTCCGCGCGGCATTTCTTTCCTTAACCTGTAATTTACTTTTTTCCAGGCTATGTTTCTCAGCACCAAGGAAACACGGGCAGCGGAAGCAGTGTAATAAATTAAACCTCATAACTAGCCCCGTTAAGCCCTTCGCCCGCGAACGCCGACGTGTTTCCCGCGTTCATTTTCTCCGAGGCATTGAAGTCGCTCGCCAAATACAAGCGTTACTCGAAGCCCAGCTCGCCGCGCACTCCCGAGCGAAACAAGAGCAGCGCGACGGGCGTGTCGTTTGGGGAGAGACAAGGGAGGAGCGTTTGTGAAACAAGATTTGTAGCATAGAAGAGTAGGGAAAGGCCATCGTAACTTGAACTTTGAGAATCGAATCGCTCAAAATCCGACTCACGTGGGCACTGAATCATCGTGCGAATCGAAACCCCCCCGCCTCGTCGAGTTCCCGGGACTTGCCCGCTCGCGAGGCGCTTCGATCCTACAGGTTCGTGGCAAATACACGAATACACGCCGCGCGTTGGAATCTCCTCGAGTCGAAGCAGCAAGGGGGTCGAATCATACACGAACGAATCCCCCGCGAGTCGAGTCCCACAGCAAAACGAGCAGTGCAGTGGAAACGGCAGCAGCCCAAGAGGGCCACGCAGCAACACAACGCAGCCGTAAAATAATAAAACCAAATTCCTCTCAAGTTATTCGACAACCTCGCCACCTGCGGCCACCCCGATGACGGAAGCGACACGTCAACCTCTGTACTCCGGGCGGCCATTATGTCACCCGGAGCCGATTACGAGGGGGGGAGGTACTCCGGGCTACATAAACGCGATGAACTGTACCACGACCGCAACTTGAGGAGCTTCGAAGGAATTCAAAGGGAAGGGACTGACGCACAAGATGAAAAATGATTTATGTCAGAAGCGCCGACTGCGGGAACAAAAGAGAGAAGAGGGAGTGAACAGAACCTGCGGCTGCAACGCACGCGGGGAAGTCACCCTGTCGCGCTGACGCTACATTTGCGGAGACGTGCAAGAAGGGCAGCCGAACAAAGGGAAGGACGTCGAGGAAACAGGCGGAGGAGGAGGAGGAGGAGGAGGAGGAGGAGGAGGAGGAAGAAGAAGAGGAAGAAGAGGTAGAGGAGGAGGAGGAGGAGGAGGAGGAGGAGGAGGAGGAGGAGGAGGAGGAGGAAGAAGAAGAAGAGGAAGAAGAGGTAGAGGAGGAGGAGGAGGAGAAAAGAAAAAAGAAAGAAGAAGGGGAGGAAGAGGACTGCGACGACGGAATCCGCATGAGCGACTCCCCGAGGAGGACGCCGCGGGCCAAGGACGCCGCGAAGGCGCTGGCGGCGGAGGGCGCCTTGCGACACTGAAAGTCAGCTCCTGCAGGAGGCACAGCGTCCTCCTGACTTTTTTTCTTTCTTTCTTTTTTATCTCCTTTTTCTCCCTTTCTCTTTCTCTTACTGTCTTATGTTTCTCACCCTTCTTATTTTCTTTTTTTTTCTGTTATTTTCTTACCGTTTTACACCGTTTCCTGCTTTTCCTCCTCCGTTGCCTCTGCTTCATCCGACTTTCTTTTAATCTGTTTATTTCTCTATCTTTCCGTTAGGGCCGTTGCGTTCAATTACACTGCAATGCCTTGTCTTTAGCGTTTATTTACTAATCTAACTTAGTACGCACTGATTTATTTATTATCTCATTTTATTTTTTAGGTGTGTGTGTGGGGGGGGGGGGTAGAAGGCACGAGGAGCTCCAGACAAACAATTTAAACCAAATATTCGCCCACGAACGGAACTGCAGAACTCAACATCTCCGTCTCCCCCCCCTATCCCCTCCCCCCTTTCCCTCCTCCCTCACACTCTTCCTCCCTTACCTCCCTCTCCCCATTGGGTCTTCCCCTACCCGTTACCTACCTAACCCCCTGTCTACCCACCTCCCCCCAACTACCCTCCGCGCGCAGGTGCCTTGAGAGGCAGGTCAGCGTGACGACCGCCACTGCCACCGCCCGATTCCGCCTCTCGCGACCGCTCGGGCGTGACCTCAGGGAAAAGTGGGCGGGGGCGGGGGGGGAGGGGGGGAAGGGGGAGAGAGAGAGTGAGAGGTAGAGGGGGGGTGGAGAGAGAGAGAGAGAGAGAGAGAGAGAGAGAGAGAGAGAGAGAGAGAGAGAGAGAGAGAGAGAGAGAGAGAGAGAGAGAGAGAGAGAGAGAGAGAAAGGGAGAGAGAGAGAGAGAGAGAGAGAGAGAGAGAGAGAGAGAGAGAGAGAGAGAAAGGGAGAGAGAAAGGGAGAAAGAGAGAAAGGGAGAGAGAGAGAGAGAGAGAGAGAGAGAGAGAGAGAGAGAGAGAGAGAGAGAGAGAGAGAGAGAGAGAGAGAGAGAGAGAGTTTTAATTATCAATACGATAAAATTCGCCCAATGCACCTGGTATGAGCCCAAGCGTGGAATGGAAAAAAAACCTGGAAATGCTGCGGGCCGGCGGCGGGATGTGATCAAACATTCCAGTCAACTTGTATCACAAACGTGTCGATGTATATGTATATGTATGCAAGGACGTATGCTTTGGAATAACAAAGAAAAACAAATGAATAATCATAAGCTGATGATAATGATAATGATAGTTTGATGATAGTAATGATAAGTTGATAGTGATGACGATGATTGATAATGATCATAAAAATAATAACAATAAACAACATAATTTGTAAAATTAGCCCCACAGTCCGCAAAGGACACGGACGAAGCTGGAAACGAGGCAAGTGGGGCGCGGAGCCGGGCCGCCGACGTCTGCCTGGGGGAAGTAGAAAGCTCCTTCGCCAGGACGCGAAGCCACACTCGCTCCTCCTCGCTCGCTCGCTCGTTCGGTGGTTTGTTCGTTTACTTGTGATTGTACGAACACCTTTTCTAGCCTGTTCTCAAACCTGGCGCGATAAACACGCCCATAACAAGCCCACCGGAGAAGCGTATTTTGTGGCACTGGCCGCCGACGTCCGACCAGATGCGCCACGACGCCCTGAGAGGCAGCTGGCGCCACGACGACTGGGAATCAGCTGAGCGGGAATCCCAGAAGAGCAACCAAGCGGCGATTTGATTACGAAGAGGAGGAGGAGGAGGAGGAGGAGGAAGGAGGAGGAGGGAGGAGGAAGGAGGAGGGAGGAGGAAGGAGGAGGAGGAGGAGGGGGGGGAGGAGGAGGAGGAGGAGGAGGAGGAGGAGGAGGAGGAGGAGGAGGAGGAGGAGGAGGAGGGAGGAGGAGGGGGGAGGAGGAGGTGGTTGCGATACAGACCACTCCCGACACTTCTCCCCAACGGCCCTCGTGAGCGAGTCGCCGGGCCTCGTCCCTCGCGGTGAGCGGACGCCGTCGGCTGTGATGATTAAAAAGAGCAAACCGCGCGATGGCAATTAGAACATGGCGAGCGCCGCCCCTCGCACCGCCCGCGACCCGAGGAAGGCGGCGCAGGGGTGGAGCTCCCCTCTCGGTCTGAGCGACGACCCTGTTGCTTACGTAGAGGTTCTGTGATGCGAAAATGGATACCGATT